ACTTCTGAGAGCTTCAGAAGTAGTTTTGCTGAAGGGACCAAGGCATGCAGCTAAGTAAGGAGACTGTTTCTAATGTCATGAACACCCTTCCTGAAGCCTCAGCACTTTAATTCTTGTATTTTAGCAGTAGAGGCAGTAGGTGCTCAGGAAGCTGGTGAGGCCTTTCGCAGGTGTCCATACACCCATATGCACCAGTGCACATATCTCTAGGTCTTCATCTTCTCTTTTCCATTCTTTCTTTTCCCTCCTTCCCACCCAATTGCTGCTCACTCATTCTCTTTCCATGGGAGAGAGTATATTTTAAAAAGTAAAAGTGGAAATGTTTATGCACTTATCAGGTGTGGGAAATAAAGCTGAAGGTGGGAGGTGAAGTCTCTCTAGACAACCTATGGCATCTCTCATGAAGCTCCTTCCTGTGGCAGCTGTGCTTGTATGTGGTGGGCAAGCCCTTGGGTTGGCATGAGGTTCTGCTATGCCAGTGCTCCACATTCAGGTTTCACTCATAGACTCTAAGCCTGTTGACAAACAACTTATGCTTTGAGATGAAAGATGATGAATGTTGCTAAACCAACCCCACCTGGTGCCCACAACTGGTCAACTAGCAGCATTTGGCCTTTAGGATAAATGGACATTGGGAATCAGACTAGATCTATCACTGCCAGGCTTCCCACTCACCAAGCCCATCTCCCCAATATGGCCAAGACCTGCTGGTGCTGGTTTAGCAATATTTACAATTTTAAATTGAGATGTTTGAGGCATAGGTTTGGTTAAGTCCTACTTGGGCACTAATGGAAGGAAAGTACACTCCGATCCCAGTGTCCTGTGCTTCGGGCAGCACTGCTATCTCCAGAACCTGCAAGTAATAAAAGATACTCTGTCAACTTTTGATTTCCTAGACCATGAAGAGGAGTCGACTAAATCAGTTTGCATGTACTGCAAAGGTGGATTTCAGCAGTAACAGGCATGAAATGACTGTCTGGGACAGTTCTCAAAGACCAAAACAATCTCACATTCAAGCAGAATGATAGAAAACTTGCGGCAGCCATCAGAGTTATAATCTGAAAAGGAAGAAAAATACAATGTGGTCCTTCCCAGTGAACTAAAGACAGAATTGGGAGTTAGAAATCCAAGTCCTAACATCAGGGACAACTTATATTGTCTTTTCATGCATACTTCTGTCACCTTGTCACTTTTCCTACTATACAAAAAAAGTCACCATTTTTGTCTCAAAAGGATAAGTGACTACTTTAGTGAGGATTGATTATATATCAAATACAAAAATTGTGTACACTATCCCCACACAGGGCTTTCCTAAGGCCTCGGTGCAGTTTTAAGTTCTTAATAATACCACTTTCTGAATGTGTCATTCCAAAGGTTTATGTTATCTTAGAATATCTGGAATTTTAGGGCGATTTGGAAGAATATTTTAGATAAAATTATTAAGTCCTTAGGAATGTCTGTTATGTGTATAAACATGCATTCAGATTTTTGTTCACATAATTGAACAAAACTAGGCCTTCCTGTTTATTTTTAATTGAATTTTGAAGTGAAATGGCATTTGAAAATTTTTCATGTTAAAAAACACATCGTTATTACACTAAAATCTTTCTCTGGCTGTAGGTTAGAAGTACCCTATTTAAGTTGCTCTTGGTCACCAGCGTCATCTATCTCTCTCTCTCGCGCTCTCTCTCTCTTTCTCTCTCTCACACACACACACACCCCCTCTGGCTTGCCCACATCCATAGATGTTAGGTGGATCAGCTGTGGAGTTAGCAAGCTTGAGTTTGAAACCTCACTCTGCTACTTGCATGTGGGACCTTACAAAAAAATCACCTAACTCTTCTGTGCCTCAGTTTACTTTTGTGAAATCCCCGCCTTCCAGCTCAATCAGCAGCCAAAAAAGTTATTTTATTTTTGAAATTCTGGATGTCTTTATCCAGTAGGATGAGGCAGCAATAAAGGACTTAATAAATAACGCATTTACAGGCCATGCGATTGTGGGTTAAATAAACGGGGAGATACGGTGGAGGGTAAGTGAATGCTGGTGGGGGCTGCTTTAAATAAACTGGTCTGAAGAAAGCCCATTTGGAGCTGAAGCTTAAGGAATGGGAATGAACCTGCCATTTGAAAATCTCAGGAAGTGGCCGAGTAAGAGGCAGAGACTGTGAAGGTGGGGATGGGCTTGGAGTGTGAGAGCGGAGGTCCTGCGATGGAGCAGAGCTCAGCCACCCCGTGGGAGAGGCGCAGGTGATTCCGGAGGCCCCCCCCAAGCCGCCGCTGACCTGTGTTAGAGAGGAATTAACGTGAGGAAGGGATGGCCAGGACACTGCGAGCTGGGGACAAGCAGGAGGCTGGAGAAGGAAGCGGGCGCCGAGGCTCTCAGCCTGGAAGGGGGGTCCGAGCGTCGTCTCAGATGGATTGGAGGCCGCTGCCGGTTCCCCTGTCCTCGCTGACATTCTTGTTCTTAGATGATTACAGTGTGGCCAGTGCTCGGGATTATCCGATTCCACACGGCAAGCTCCCTTTAACGCATGTGAAACAGATCCCGTGGAATCTGGAAATAACCTACAGATCCCTCTGTGTTTGATCCCTGAGCAGCCCTTGAGGAAGGGAACGGATTGCTCACTTTGAGGAGCACGGACACTCTCCCGCGCTTGGGGTTTGGAAGCAGAAGACACAGCAGATCAGGGGCTGCGGGTCCGATCAGCTCAGCTTTCCCGCCGCTGGCAGAGCGCCGGGCGCAGCGAGGACACAGTGAAGCCTATCACTTTCCACCAGCAAGCGGCGTTCAGGCCTTGGGGGATAAATAGCAAAACCCCACGTGAAACAATTAGAGGATCCTCCCGCCGAGGACAGTGCATGTGTAATAAAGTGTTAACTGGAACATTACCCTATGCAGAAGTTAATGAGGCAGGCAGGCAGAGCAGGGCCACTAAGAAGAGGGAGAACTGTTTGAAGTCCCTGGACGATGCTTCTTAGGGGGGAGGCATTTGAGCTGGTCCTTGGAAGATGGTTGAAATTTGGTTAGAGGGGAGGGAAAGGCATTGGAAAGCCTTTGTCTTCAGATTCAATCAACATGCAAAGGATTATTGTGTTTTCCCAAAGTTTCTGCTGTTCTGCTGCCTTTCAAGGGGAAGCCCTCCATGAGTTTCTGATTCTCAGTTCAATTGAATTACCAGCCCATTGTCTGGGGAGAGCTGTTTGGTCAGGGAGCCCTGTGGACTTCACAGAAGCTTTTATCCTTTGAAGGAAGCTGTCCTGATTTGCCATTGTTAATGAGCCTTGTACTACACAATGCTCAAGTTTAAGACCCACTGAGAACATGACCATGTAGCTCCTTTCATCTCCACATGAGGGAAGCACATGGCATACAGCGGCTGCAGAAACCCAGCAGCAGGGCTGCTCCCCCAGCGTTAGGAATTGTCCTGAGCTTTCTTATGTCACATCCTAACAGCTTGGTACTGGGAGTGATGGACTGTACTGCTTTCCCCCTTCATGAATAAATATTAAATGTCTTGCCCCCAGGAAGATGAACCCTTTGTAGTCATGCATCTCTTCTGAACAGGCATCCTTAGGACCCGCACACTTACATTTCAATATCCTGTGCCTGAGTGAGGCTTAGCTTGGAATTTGTGAAATGTGCACTTATTGCAATGGGTATATTTTTACTCTGTCAGTGGTTTTTTGTTGTTGTTTTTGCATCAGATCCTGACTCATACGTTTGATCACTCAAAGGGCTCACCTCCCTTGCTGAGGCTCTCTGGGAAATTCATGGTTATTCTGAATGTTAAGGTATTTCCCATTAGCTCAGGTAATTCCAAAAGTGCAGGTTCATCTTTAATCCCAAGATTAAGGCAAAACAAGTGAAAATGAGAGAATGGTTAAGAGAGGCCCCTGCTGACATGAAAACAGAATTTAATGGCAGTCTGAAGGACAGAGACTTTCAAACTTTTTCATGTGCTCATTCATATCCAGAAAAGATTTTGAGAAGGCCTCCTGAAAGATATACTTATTTAAATTTTATATACATGCATCATTATAGTTGTGTTACTTGCATATAAAAGACACACAGGAAAAGAAATAATAAATATAATTTAAAAATCAGTATAATCTCTAATATTTTCATTCCAAACTTTAAATAATCCTCTTTGGTGTCCACTGGTGTGCACACACTCTGATCGAGTGCACCTGGGTGAACCTAGGGCAGCAGGCAGTGCGGAACAGTGCACTGGTTCTCAAATGCTGGTCTCCGTCACAATTTCCTAGAAGCTTGTGAAAACACAGATTTCTGCCTCCCCCAATGTCTCTGATGTAGCAGGTCTGGGGTGGGGCCCAAGAATTTGCATTTTTAACAACTTCCCAGGTGATGCTGGTCTGAGGACGATACTTTGCAAACCACAGATGTAGTTAAGAGCTTGAGGCTCAGTGAAGTGGTGGTCATTTTCCTTACCTCTTAGAGTCACTGCAGAGCTTAATGAGATAACAGAGACAAAGTGCGTTGGGCCCAGTGCTTGTTACCTACAAAGAACCCATACCTGTTGGCTGCTGTCTCATCCTCTGAATTATCATTAAACATCTTTTTAACGTAACAAAGTAGACTTCAGGGACTTTTGTGCCTTAATTCATGAGAGCCACGGGAATGTGTTTTTCTGCTTTAGCATTTATGCATTTAGAAAGACCGTGCTCCAAGTGAGATCTTCTAGTTGAACGGTAGAGACGAGGCTCTTTTGCAGGGTCTGCCTAAAAGAGAACAGTATGTTCAGCCCCCTCCCCTCTGTGTGTAACTGTTGATAGTGTGTGGCTACGTGTGTATTTCTGTTGTCCTTCGTATGTACTGAATTCTTGTTGCATGACACAGAGTTGACATTTTTGGTGGTTGTGTCTTTGAATGTTTTGGGGCATGAGGATAGTAAATTCAAGTGATTGCTTTGAATTTTATTAGTTTTTAACGCTTCCCTCTCTGCTTTTTCTTCCCTTCCCTGTTTCTTACGCATTACTAGGACCCAGTACCACCTGCCAGGAAGACTCATGCGCCAACCAGGGGGTCTGCATGCAGCAGTGGGAGGGCTTCACCTGCGACTGTTCCATGACCTCGTATTCTGGAAACCAGTGCAATGACCGTGAGTACAGCCTTCTCATGCTTGGATTTTTTCAAAGAGCTCAGAGGTTTGGAGAAACCTTAAGGAACGTATAAAATGATGTCTCTTCTGAAAGATGCATTAGCAGTTTTCTCCTCAAGAAACTTGGGAGAATAAAGGCCTAGTGCTCTTATGTGAGGAACAAAGAGACATTTCTTGCTCAGCAACACTAAACGTTTTCCCACTTGCTTATTCCAGTGTTTTCCCTTTCAACTAGATTACCTGTGACTGAGAAACAAACAAAGCAATTCAGGCAATATTTATGTTCGAAGGAGTTCTGTTTTTCATTAATGAAATCATCTGGATAACAATTTTTGAGACTCTTGTATGCACTGCCTAGAATTTAGAGTATATTTAACGAATGTAGTAGCTCTTTTTTCAAACATTCTGAATTTAGAGAACTTCTTAGACCTTTCAAAGGGTGAAAATATTCAGGGCTCATTATGTTTTCCAATTAGAAAACATTTAAAGCATTGTCAGAGGTCATTCAAATGTTATGCAGGGATTCTGGAATCTCTGATCTCTGGCTAAGTTTATTGATTATCTATCTATCTATCTATCTATCTAGATAGATAGATAGATAGATAGATATATACTGTTTATATATTTATTTTGTGAGTATATTTATATGTCTCATCTGTGTATTTGGTTCGTATTGGCAAAGAGCCTGTGTCCACTAGTAATGCTTCGGGCACATAGCTGTTTAGTCTAGAAGAAGACTGATGTCATGAAGGTGATTCTAGCACTGCTGTGGAGATACTTTAATTCTGTGGGATCTACAACTGGGTCTCCACTTCCTTTTATTTTATTGTCCTAACATGGCCACTTAAAGGTGAGCAAACATTTGAAATTCCCAACTGCTTATTTTGAAGAGATGTGTTAAAAAGCCCTGACTTCCTGTGTCCTGCTGACCTTCTGATTTTCTAAATGCAGCCTAAACCCATGGTAGGAGTTTGCTTTACAATGTGAACTCAGCCCATTGGCCTGTTGGTTTCATAAACAAGGTGCGCAATGTTATCTGAGCAGACGATATGGCCACGTTATAGTTTTCCACGAGGGATTAGATGTCAGCTACAGTGCCATCTCCGCCATGCCTATTTGGTTTTCCTTGCTTCCTTATTGCTAAGCGCTTTCCATGTGTGTGGTTGTCTCTCGTTCTGTTTTCCACTTTTCTCATAGCTTTTTGCCTTCACATGGGCCTGTCAGTTGCTTAAGATACACGAAGGAAAAACAAGTGAGGAATTGGGCAATGCAGAGAGAAAAGTCCTTGATAGTCATTGATCTAAGTGTAAGCGTTGCCTCTCTGTCTGTAATGCAAAGGGCACCCTCTCCGAGGAAGGTTTTGGCATCAGTAGCCCTTCCCAAGAGTTTGGCCTCAGTGGAAGTCCTGATTGCATATTTGCGGTTTGCAAATCCCCGCGCCCTCTGAGACAGGCAGCTCCGGACCCATCGGGCACCCTGGAAACTGTGCTGTATGCTCTCCTTTCCCTTCAATTTGTCTGCATAGGACTCAGTAGGAAGCCCCCCACGCCCCGCTACATGGTGGCCTAATGCCTTTCTATCCTCACAAGTCCGTTGCACGCCCACGTGCACACCACTCGCAGCAGGAACCGGCTGCAGGCAGAGCAGGCGGGAAGGTAAGTGGCGCCGAGGCCGTGGATACGCGCATCTCGGGCAGGTACGTACGCGCTTCTCTCCGTGACCAGCTCCTCTGCGTCCACCCGGGAGGGCATTGCTTTCCGCTAAAAGCTGAGTGGGTTCCGTGCCAGCTTTCCCGGTCGCTTCTGATCCTGTCATGAGGACTATCGCGCCTTTTGACTTGAGCTTTTGCCTACCCGTAATGAGGCTCTAGGACGAAGATTGGGGATGGTCAGCCTTCTTTCATGGCAGTAGATGCTCCTCCTTCAAAAATGCTCCTAAGATACCCAGGCTTAGTATAATGTACTTTATATTTCTATTCCAGAAACAATGGAGTTGAATGTTTGATTGTGGAAGCCCTCTGAGCCCAAACTGCTAGAAGAATCCTCTTGCCCAGATCCCTCCGGAGAGCAGACCAGGGCTTCTGAGGCTGGGTGGCTGGGTGGACATGGGAGCAAGGACATTTTAACTGCAGAATGTGAGGAAGGCATAGATTGCAGATATACAGGATTACAGGAGCTAGCTATGAAGTTTGTATGTAAACTTTTGTTGTTGTTGCTTAAAACAGTAAGCATTTACTGTTGCTCATGGGGCTGTGGGTAAACGTTTAATGAAACCCAGCTAAGTATATGAAAATGGTAGGCTAATGGTTGCAATGGATCTATCTTTATCTAATGACTGACATTTAAAGTATTGGGGGGCTTCTCTTTTGCAACTAACGTCAGAATCAGTTTTTTTCCACCTAGAAAATCGGCCTCACTACTTTACATCATAGATAATTATTTTCTGTGTCAGCCTCGACCCTTAGAGTTGTAATTTGCTGCTTTATCTCACAAACATGTTCAAAACGAAGTCACCTTTCTGATATTCTCTGTGCCTCCTAGGTTAGCAAATTCCTGGTGGCTTAGCTTGCATTGGGAGTTGAGCATCGACTCTCCGTGTCACCAGCAGAGTTGAAAAAAGGCTCATGTTTGTCACTGGCAAAAGCAGAAAGGGGGGATGATGACTTGAGTGGATAGAAGGGTGAAGGAGGAGGGCTATGGAGGGAAGCAGGGAGGCCGTTGCTTGGTAGCATGGGTACTGCAGGTGGCCTGGCTTTGATCTAGAACAACTGGAGCATGGCGTTATAAGTGGAGTGCCGTCGAGGCAATCTGGCCTTCACCCAAGACTTGGGAATAGTATATTCTGTACAATGTTGTATCTATCTAAAATAAATCCTGTTCCTTAAGATGCTGCCATAGAACCTCATGACTTCGTTAGAGGCTCAATCTAATGATAAAGTGCATTTTCCAGGTGGAGATAGGGTTTGGAGCTCTCATTTTCTATGAGCTGTTTCTCAGGACAGCCGATTGATCCTCAGTTATTGGAAATGAAAACATCTCAGTTTATCATTGCACACCCAAGAATAGGAAACTGTTCAACAGGGAAATGGGTAGGCTATGATATTTTCCAAAATAAAGTCCTCAGTCCATCATGTTATAGGGAAGCTAATTATATCTGGGGTGACTTGCAAGCTTCTAAAGACATGTTTGCATTTTAAGATCTTCTTCCTTTTTCTAGCGTTGGTTCTGTAACTTACAAGTTTGGTGGGTCTTTTTGGCCTGTTTGCCAAATTCGGCACTTGCTTGACGATTTTGAGTTGCTGTCACATGGATGTGGCCCCCATGAGTAGAGTTTACATTTAAGAACCGTGTCTCCTTTAGCATGAGTAGGCCAGACATGGATGGTTTTAACTTATTTTATCATTCTCTGTGAAAGTATGGTGGGCTGACGGAGGCAGTGGGATGAATTCCAGGTTCATTCTTATAAAGATAGATGCAAAGCTGATATAGCCGCTATGAAAGTATGACATGTATTAGGTGGCCTTGTATAAGAGTGATCCCCTTGTATTTGATAGAAACAAAAATCTGATTGGAAACTAAAGTGTAATTGATTTATTAATTGTCTTGTATAGTTTTATTATACGACTTTCCATTCCTTGTTATGGTAAAATCATAGGGAGTTTCCTTTAGGTGACTTTTAGGGCCATTTACCATGGAAAAAATCATCCCAGAAGCAATCTTGACTTCATGTAGGATCCAGTAAGGAAACACAAGTGACATTCACCAAAGAAAACTTGTATTTTTTCTGAAAAATTCAAAACAGAGCGGGCCAGCTTCTCTGAGGGCTAATATCAACTGAATATTAACATAATATTGGGGTTACATTTTAAGAATAACAAAAGAATGGGACCTTACAAGGGTTCTTATAGGGGTGTTTTTTTAATATTTGGTTCCTATTGGTATTTTAAATGAGGACTGAGATCTGGGAAATTTCAGTATGTTGTATCCATTGCACAGCATGCAAATCCAGAGTCCCTTTTCCATACAGCGAGGCAGTGCCACCCTCCTGGCAGCCGACTGTTGAGTCCCCTTCTCGTTCAGAACAGCAAGATGTTGCACAAAACCCAGCTCCCTTGTGCATACCCACACACATACAGAAGAGTTGTTATTTGTGGGGGAGTCTTTGAAAATAGCAATTTGAAACACCTCACATCTATCCTTACCACCATGGTTCCTTTTTTAGCATGTTTAGCATGCTCATGACAACTGTCTTAAGTTGCATATAATTTTGGGATCTTGTTATTGCTTGTGCCCTGGAGAAGCAAATGTGGAACAGTGTGCGTGTGGCACGTGACTCCGTAACACACATCACGCTCCTAGATTTAGAAATGGGGTGTGTTTATAATGGCTTTGTGGGGTGAAGAGTAGGGAATAAATGCGGGTCCTCAGTCCACCCTCGCTAGCCAGTTACCTGCGCTACATTGCCAGGTGCACATCGTGGGCCCCTTGCTGGAGAAATTGCTGGGTTCCCACCGGCATGTGATAATAGATGTCCTTTGCTGGCAACACATCACAAGCAAGCAGCTGTGGATCGTGCAGACAGCGGAGTGTGAAGCGTGTTTTCAGACAGTTCTCTGCTGGGGTGGCTGTTAAGCTGCACTGTCGGCTATTGATTGGCCTTTTGCTTTTTATTTATTGTGCAGGTTTATTTATTTTTTTAATGTAGGTTGGCGTATTGATTAAATCTGTTAAAAACGCATTTCCCATTCAGGCTTCAGAAAAGATAAACAATGTATGCATTACTTAGGGTACAAACAAGGGCTCAGACGCGTGTGCTCATTCTGTCTCCTGTGTTCGTGAAGGGCCACTGGCATTATGTCACGAGCCCTATTTGTATAGCAGTGATTTCCAAGGGTATCATCCTGTCAGATGTCCCCGCTTTTGGTTATGTGTTTATTTCCTGCCTCTCTTTTCAAGCTCTGCCTGTCCAGTAAATAGGCCACATCTGAGAAGTTCACTATT